GTTCTGGCAGTAGTTAATAAACTGTTCAGTACTGACTAAAGTTTAACCTTGAAAAAAGCAACTCAATATCACCACCAACCTTCTGCACAAACTGACCACTCCAAGGCCTGACTAGCTCATGTCTGATTGGGCTGAGGAGATTAAAAGTATCAGGCACTTTGCAAGACAAGACAAAACCTTGGCACAGACACAAAGGTCTGGGGGAAGAATGTTTTCACTTTGCCAGGCAGGTTTGAGACAGAGAACAGGAGTGTATATGAGTGCAGAGAACAAAGGCATAAAGAAAAACGCCAGTAACGGTCAAGAAGTGCACAGCTGGGCAATGGGGAGAATATACCAGAACATGCAGTACTGTGCAAAAGTCAGAGACCACTTTTCATTTATATAATGTCAAAATACATAAACAGACAGATATACATTCAACAGTAAATTACACAAAATATCCAGAAGCCTCAACAACTAAATATAACGTCGGTTGTTTCAGTGTTTAGTGTCCACCTTTTGTCTTTATTACTGCTTCTATGTTTTTGGGAGACTTGTTTTCCTGCAACCTGTCCAGGGTGTATCCAGCCTTCCACCCAATGACAGCTGGGTTAGGCTCCAGCACCCCACTGTGACCCAGAAGGATAAGCGGTTTAGATGATGTGTGTGTGTGTGTGTGTGTGTGTGTGTGTGTGTGTGTGTGTGTGTGTGTGTGTGTTTTCAGTTTTTTCAAAGAAATCTCCAAAGTTCCTCCACAGTTTAAAGTTCAGTCTTAAAAGCTGGTCGCATTTTCCCAAACACATTCGTTGATGTCAAGGTCTGGGCTCTGGGTGGCCGGTCCCTTGTTCTGAGTTCTGAGCTATTCTCAGTGATGGCTTATTGACAGCTAAATATCCTTTCAGACCCATAGCGCTGAGTCGTCTTCTCACAGTGGAAGGATGGACAGAAACACCTGTGGATGTTTTCAGATCTGAAGCAGCTTGATTTTCTCCTCTCTCTCAAAGATGAAAGCTTTCAGTGCTGTTTATCTGATGGGGCAGTTTTGGTGTTTACCAGGTCCTGCACTGCTGTTAGGAGACCCATTTTCTCAATATTCAGTTTCAGAAATTCCTGTTTTTTCCACTTATTTTCTTTTGACTTTCCCCTTCTTTACGTAAGTGGATTATCTTACATGTAATCTCCTCAAAAATATCAATAACTTCACTTAAAAGCCATTTTGACTGGAAATTAAATAAATGAAGGTTGTTCTCTGACTTTTGCATAGTACTATACATAACTATATGATTGACACAGAGACGGCAAGACAGCATGACTGTCTTCGTTTGAAAGCCCAATGACATTCAAGCTACATTCACTTTACAAGCCTCGTTGCTCAAATCCGATTTTTTGCTCAAATCCGATTCTCTCTGAAACGATGGTTCACACTCGTTTAGGTAAGTGACTCAAATCTGTCATTAATGTGACGAACCGGCGTCCTGAAATGACCCTCATGAGCTCATCCTACTCAGTAACGTCACGTGAATGAATCACGTTCATCATCAGCACAAACTAACGAGCAGAACGAGCTTCGCTGAGAAGATCATTAACTCTGATCAGCTCTCAGCTTCATTATTAGAGCGAGACGAAGGAGAAAAAGGTGAGATGAGCTGCTTTTCCACCGTTTACAGGCTTTAGCTTCTGTTTGGCGCTGCCGCCATGGTAACGCTGAATGATGGTCACGCGCAGTGGAAAAAAGCACATGAATTCCGATCTGAGCTTCACATTAAGGTCGCGTGGCCACGAATCGGATACATAGCCGATCTAGGACCACATATGAAAGTGCCCCGGGTCGAATTTGAAAAGATCAGATTTGTGTCCACACAGCTCTGAAAACATCAGATCTGAGTCACATTAGGGCAAAAAATCGGGATTTTTGCCACTTCAACCTGGTAATGTGAACGTAGCCTTAAACTTCATAGCCTCAATGAGGACAGAGCATTGCAAAATATGCAAAACAGTCAGAACAGATATCACGAGGACAACTTGGATGATTGGGACCAAGCAGGAGTCAGTTTTTTGACAGTAAGTGGAGCGCACTGGCACCAGTCCTCAAGAGCAGGACAGCCATCAGAGCAACGCTTAAGAGAAAACAATCAGCGTGTTCTGAATGGAGTAAACCGCATTGACAACCTGCTGGAGATAAACCATATGATGCTGTCCACAGAGATTGAATTGAGTGGTGGACACGAGCGCCAAGAGCCTTTCTGCAGTCTCATCTGGGAGAAGTTCCATGCTCTTATGAGAGCCTCTCTCTGATCTCTGGCCACCACGACTGCTACGTTATAAATGCCTGTGAGTTCAGACCAGTGGCATTCGCCCTCATGTTCTCCATTACGCAGTACCCTGGCCAGCAGGACAAGGCTCAGAACAGACCACTTGGAGGACAGTCTATCTATGTCTTCGGTGAGTTATGAGCCAGGATGTGTCATAAATCTGGGTCTAAATAACATTGGCGGCATCATTCACATCACTCTTAAACAGTTCAGAGTCCTGCAGAGACCAGCAATCTGTTCGGCTAAAGAGGTACATCTGCTTTAACTCAAGTGGATGGCATCGAAGCAGTAATACCATAATTAAACTTGCATGAAATTCCTTCCATCATTTGTTTCACTTCAGATTTTGATGAGATTGGGTCACCACGTTTGGGTTTATTTAGGGGATCTGAAACTATGAAATGATACTGCTAAGAAACGTTCAGTTCTTTTGGATGAGATCTCATTATATCGCGTTCAGCAGAAAAGGGAAGCTGTCACTATCAGGAAAGGCCGACCACTGAGATGGTCCTAAACGTCATTAGTTTCAGGCTTGCCTTCTGTTAAACATAGCGATTTGTGGTTTTGTCCAAAATTCACACTTCACAGCTGTCTCCAGTGATCATCACCGAACGTTTTAATGCTCCTAAGATTTAACATCAGCACCATGGACAGTAACAATCGCATTAAAAAGATTGCACTAACGGACAGTTTTTGAGCATCTACAGTACATGTGTCGGAATGAAAGGCATACACTTCTAACAAGACTTCTAACGAGCGAAACGTGAAAGAGAGGCTAAAAAAAATCCTCTTTCACTCAACCAATTACTGTAAATGAACCTGAGCTTGTCTTTCCTGTGAAGATCTTTGCTCTATTCATTAATTCAGCCGCAGACAAGACGAATTTAAATGAGTTCCTTCGACCTGAACGAGATTACTCAGCCTTATCTCAGAGACTGAATTTAATGCTCACCTAATAGTACAGTTCCTCTAAGCCGAACACAGAACGACACTGACATGTTTCAGACTTTTGTTAACTGTACTTTTAGATAAGCAGATTTTTGGGGCACGCCGCCGGAGCAATGTTTTTTACTGTTAGCAATAAAAACCATCAGGAGTGCACTTGTGAAAAGCTTCAGACCAATTTTTTTTTTTTTGGACAGACCTTTAGTGGAGGTTCTCTTAAGTAACTAAATAAAATGCTTCTTGTTCCAGAGATCTGTAAAATCTAACCCAAAAGTGGGTCGTATTTCAACACAACTCATGGTCAACACCTTTTAAAAGGGTGTTGCCAGGAGACGTGTGTAAAGCACTCATTAAGGCACTCCACTTGCTATGCCTGTGGGCACTTTGGGTCATTTGCTTGCTTACACAACGTTGAGAGGTAGGTCCAAACTGAGGCACCATATGGTTTCAATTATGCCAGCAAGCTACATTTTAACAAAACAAACACAAGCACCAGGCTGTCATATTTATATAATAAATGTAGTACAAAACGATTTGCTAGTAGCTGCTGCAACATTGTTGGGTTAAGTTGAGACGCCTGCAACTGTGGCTAAGTTTCAAACGAGTTGCAGGAGGTTTTACATTATACAACTCCAGTGCAATTTAGTTTCATGCAGGTATTCACAACGTAAAGCCAGCCTATTATGTTAGCCATGTAGTTATGAGAGTGAGGAGAGTGAGCACATACAGACCCATCAGGGCTTCATGCTCGGATGACTGAATTATGGCCTGTGAGCAAATTCTATTGTTTTGCAGATATGCAGATAATTCCGGCCTAACAAAGCTTTGACATAATGTGACTGGGAAAAGACAGATTTGAGCTCTTTGCTGTCCCAGAATTAAAAAAAGAATGTTTCAACATTTATGTATAATGTAATCAATGCAATGCGAACAGTCATTCATCAGAGCGGTTTGATTTCTGGAGAGAAACCTACAGACTCTTTTTTAGTGGTGGTGATAGGAACCAGGGAGAAGGTCCACTCATATACATGCATTTTATTTACTGTCCAAAATAAACAGTGAACCTCAAAGTGCCTTCTGAGTTTGTATATGTAATGTTGATAATGGTGAAATGGTAAATCTGGAATATTTTGCCTTATAAGACCTCTCCACCGTGGACAGGTTTCTAGGGGAGCTTTTAAAGTTTTGGCTTAAATAAATTTTTATTTATTTTATCTTTGTTTTAAACTCAGTATTCTCTGTAATTTTAGTCATCACGCTGAGTGATGAAAGGGAGTGGGAAGGCCATCCTATCCAACCAGAGAGCGAGGCCAATTCCACTCTCTTGGATACCTGGCCATGGATTGCTGTGGCATTGTGGCCAATGCTTTGATGGCTGCGCTTCTTGGGAGCTCTGCTGTAAACAATTCTGACCTTATAATAATATACATCAAACCACTCTAAATGACTTTATTCTTAAAGATGAACGTATAAAGAAATGTTTAAAATTGGTGGAATTGTCCTTTAAGAACACAAACAAGGGGTATGTTAAAGTTTCAGTTAAAGTGTGTGGGTCTGCGCGTGTTGTTGGGGGGGTGATCCTTGACCAAAGACTGTTTGACCCCCCCTACTGTGAAATCTATTTTATGTCCCCTGGTTTAAGAGGTTAATAAAAAGTAAAGAGAACAGAAAACAACGCAGTAAGTCCTAAATAAACAGCCCAACTGGATACGAGACAAACTATTTTGAAAAATAACTTGGACACATAATAGATGCACTCACTCTGGAGTATTGATCCAGATGATGTCCAGGTGACAGTAGTAGACACACTCCTTGTCCTTGTAAGAGAAGCATGTACAACGTCTGGGTCTTTGATGAGTCTGATGAGTCTGATGAGTCTGATGAGCCTGAGTGCCTTTACTCAGCAGGATCTTTGCGTTTCTGTACTGGCTGGGATTTCGCTTTGGGTCAGCAGAAGTGGACAGTTCAAATGACTGGATGTTCTGGGCGTCTCCTGGCCACAGCGATGACCTGCCTTGAATACGGACAGCAAAAATGAGTTCATGAGAGAATGCAACGTCTCTATACTAGTCTATAACACATAAAATATATAAAGAAAATATACATTTTATATTTGATATTTAATTTTTTTCCCAGTTGGTAAAAAATAAATAATAAATAAATAAATAAATAAATAAATAAACAATAACAGTAACAGTTCACTGAAATGTGCAGAAAAATGTAATATTTAAGGTTTTTCCCTGTTAACTTATTTTCACATAGAAAAGCAAGAAAACATGATATTTGATCAGGTGGGGAGTTAAACCTTATGCATATGGCTCTCTTATGCTGTATATTTGCTGCTGTAAGACCCAAATTTACCACCAGGGATTAACCCAGCCATGTCCAATAACTACATTTAGTACGACAAGGAAAAATACCACACAAACACTGACCCACTGCTCTGCTTGATCTAAAGTGATCTAACTTTGTACGTTTGCATAGTTAGAGCTGTGGGGAAAAAAAAGGTAATGGCAAAATTTTGCGTTTCTTAAAGTTTTGCTTTCTCTCACAATAATTTTGCATTCTATCGCAAATACAGCGGGTTTTGCAAGAGAACGAGTCCAGTCAAAGTTTATTTATATGGTGCTTTTTACAACAGGTGTTGTCACAAAGCAGCTTTACAGAGAAATCCGGGTCTGAGCCCCCATGAGTGTTGCTAATGGCGACTGTGGCAAGGAAAAACTCCCTAAGAGAAACAGGAAGAAACCTTGAGAGGAACCAAGACTCAGAAGGGGAACGCATCCTCCTCTGGTCGACATCGGATAGCAAACAGCATTAGAATAAAATATTAGAATACAAAAACGTGGAAAAACAGGTGGAGCACTGGTTAATTAGATAGTTTGAGTTTATGCAGCAGCTGCAGAATCATCTGAAGGGTCAGTTCATTGAGGTGAGGTTTGCACAGCGTTGTACAGCGAAAAGCTCCATGGTGGTCAAACCACTCCAGAAGGCTGGCGAGCAGGCCTCCAATCAAGGCAGACAAAACGTTTAGAAATGCAAAAAAAATTTCCAAGGAATCGCAAAACTATTGCAGAGGAACACAAAATGTTTGCGAGAGATTCAAGAAATATTGCGAGAGAGCTTTGCAATAGTTGCTGCTGCAGTTTTTTTCACAGTGGCCCTTTTAATGGCTCAGTAGGTAACAAAGGTCAATGGGAATTTAAAATTTCAGAGATGGGGGTTAATGGACTAATAAAGCAGTGTGTTTTCATATCGTGGCTGAATTTTGACTGACACTCCTGAAATAACCTTTATTATTAGAGAGTGTTTCTGAAATAAATGTTCACGTCAACTGAAGTTTTAATGAAGTGCTACCACTTTAATAGAGACTGCTACGCCTGCATATAACCATATACCATACCACACCAAACCATATATACATATATATATATATATATATATATATATATATATATATATATATATATATATATATAAAACCATATATAACCATGTAAGCCATATATGCAGCCAACATGCATGAAAAAGCGCTCTTACCTTCAGTGAAGAGGCTGATCAAACCCAGAATCACCCAAAGTTGGACAGCGAGAAACATGTTGGCCATTCCTCAGAGCTCTTCCACTCAGACGCGCGCGCACACCGCACGTGGCGAGAAATGTACCTGTGCACAAGTTGCCATGCACGAGCTCCTCTCTTCTTAGCTACACGACACGCGTCCGCGTCGTTTGAACGGTCCAGGACGAGCTGTGTCCGCTGGTTCAGCGCGCGCCATGGTCAACTCCCTTCAGGAGAGGAGCTCGTGCAGCAGAGGCTACACGCTGCACCGAGGTGCAGATGCTGCAGTGAGTAATGGCTCGTGCACGAACGTTTCAGATGCTGGAGTGAGTCTCTCGCGCGCAAAACTGCGGCATTCAAGCCGTCCCGCGCGCTTTATAGAACTTTACAGAAGCCTCTCGCGCGCACACTCAAAAGACGCGCCAGTAAGGAGTGTCTCGCGCCAACGAACGTTTTATAAGCTGCATTTAGTAGCCTTTCAATGCTATTACCTTACCAAACTGCCGCGAGCTGTTTCTCCCACTAAACTCGCTCTAATGAGCAAACTGGGGCTCTCGCGCGCACTAATTTCATCCACAAAAACCTCCCGCGAGCCCCCGCGCGTGCGCACTGCCAGCACTCTCGCGGGACTGAATCCCAGACGTCTCCCTGTTGAGCACAAGGTGCACTGTTTTTCTCTTTCGTTTACTCTGACCATTCGCCTTGCTGTCTGTAAAGGGGAACTCCACCGATTCTTCAAAATTTCTGCATAATTAATGGTTGATGTAAACAAAGTCATTGAGATTGGTTGGAGATGAAGTGGTTCATTGTGAAGAAACCTAAAGACTCAGATGTCTTTATAGTGGTGGTGATAGGAACCAGGGGTCACAATGTCAACAACACAGATATAGCCATTTTATTTACTATCCAAAACCACCAGTGAACCCACACGTGCCTTCTGGGTTTTATGTGTAATGTTGATGATGGTAAAATAGTCATAAATCTGAAAAATAAGCTTTCTTTCGGGACTATTTTGCCTTAGAACACCCTTCACGTATCCCTCCATCATGAATAGATTAAAATGAATAGATTACAACACGTTTTTGGCAAAAACCTTATCACAAAAATGCTGTAAAACAACGTCTCAGACATCACACAGCATATTCATAACCATTTCATGTAGTAACTTTCTGTGAGGGAGCTTTTAGAGGTGGACGTCTGGTTCCTATCACCAACACTGTGAACAATTCTGACTCTAAGTTTCTCTAGAACAAGGCATTTCTAGTGGTGGACGAAGTACACAAAACATGTACTTGAGTTAAAGTAGAGATACCCAAGGTAAAATATTACTCCAGTAAAAGTAGAAGTTCCTCCCTTTAGACCTCCACTTGAGTAAAAGTACAAAAGTATTTGCCTTCAAATGTACTTAAGTATCAAAAGTAAAAGTACTAAAAGATTAATTATGGCTTTGATGTCCTATTATCATTTTTGTAACAAGACTCTGCTTCATTAACTCATTTTAGGTGAAAATACTCCAGTGTCTCTCTTGGTAAACCAGTCTTTTAATAGAATGTCATTAATTAGTGACGCTGATGTCTATTAAAATTATCATAAGCACAAAACACTGAAGGCAAACAGTTTCCATCAGGTAGAACTGAGTGGCTCTGAAATCACTTTTTACAAACAAGCAAAGTTTCAGTTTAAGATTTATTTGCAACTTAGTTACAAGTTTAAGATTAATAAAAACTTTAAACTCTGATTCACAAATGAGTTTCCTTTACTAAACTGCATCTGTAGGTCTCTGTTCATAAACATAAACTAGACAAAACTAATTTACTTTAAAATGAAATGTTTGTATAAATTCAGAAAAAAGACACGTCAGTCACAACTGCATATGAGTACATATTTCTATATTGTGGTCTGTTTACACAAAGTTAGGTTGGTTCATCATTTATGCTGAATAGACTCTCCCAAAATTTTACGCTGCTGCACTGATGTTGAACCGTGTGCTGCACTGGGTCGGTATGACCAACAGGTCAAAACAAGCTCAAAACAAAGTGACCGCTGTGCCCTGATTGGTGTTCTTGCTGTGCGCTTCTTTCATTTTGACATTTCACACTAAACCTCTCAATGATTTTGCTGACGTTAACCATTTGATTTTGCAGAACTTTTGAAAAATCGGTGAAGTTCCCCTTTAAGTCATCATTTCATGACTAATGTAGCACACTGAGTAGGGAGCAGGGAGTCATCTTAGATGTAGTCACTGCACAAGAACTCCTCCGATGAATGACTGGACTAGTGGCAATAGATAAAGAGGAGCACTTAGTGCTGTGGGATCCAGACACCTCCCCTTTTCCTCTTCCCTTTTTCTTGTGTATACATGAGTAATATCCAGTAACAGTCAGTGTTCCTCCTGCGTTTGGCAGCTGGTCTACTTTAATAGCAGCAGAATTTACTCACTGTTTGTCCACATGACTCGTTACTTATTACTTATGGCTTTGTAAGCATTACAGAGTTGTAGTTAACTCTGCAGGCCTCCTTTTGAGCCTAGGCTTTCATCTCTGATTGTGGTAGCAGAGTAGAAGAGTAAGAGCATAGATCCAAATACGCTTAGGCTGTACTCACTTAAAAAGATGGTTCTTCGAGGGTTCTTTAGGAAAGAAAATGGTTCTATATAGATCTATATAGCATCTTCAGTGGGCTATTCACATAAAGTGCTGCCGCACTTTCCAGTTTATTCCCTTCCTTTATCACTATTTTCTTTTGTTCAGTCCACATTTTTGCAAGGTCCTCTGCCCTAAACACAAAATGATGGTTTTTCAAGAGTTCTTTAGTAAAGAAAATGGTTCTATATAGAACCATGAACACTCAAAGAACCCTTTGCATGATTAAGGGTTCTTTGCATCGGGAAAGTGTTCTTCAGATTGATGGAGAGTGTGTTGTGTATGCTTCTTTATAGAACATTTTTGAAAATGGTTCTATATAGCACCAAAAAAGGTTCTTATATCGTTACGATGTCAAGCTTGTAATAATAAAAGAACCCTTTTTGGTGCTACATAGAACCCTTTTCCAAAAGATTCTACACAGAACCATATACAACACATTCTCCATCAATCTGAAGAACACTTTCAAGATGCAAAGAACCCTTTGATTATGCAAAGGGTTCTTTAAGTGCTCTTGGTCCTATACAGAACCGTTTTCTTTACTAGAGAACTCTTGAAGAAGAAGTTTTACGGCAGAGGACCTTGTAAAAACGTGGACTGAACAAAAGAAAATCGTGATAAATGAAGAGAATAAATTGGGAAGTGTGGCAGCACTTTATGTGAATAGCCCACTGAAGATGCTGACCTTGCATGTAACTCATATTCAACTATTCATCTACTAAACTCTCCCTCATTTCCCCTTTACTCATCTTAATATACTGCAAACAATGAAAAAACGGAACGAAATCAAACTACTGCTGAATTTGCTATTGTAAATATACTTAAAAAGGACTTGGTGCCTGTCTCAGTACCACTTGAGGCACCATGCAGTGACCTTGACAACCATTTGGACCAATCAGAGTCAGGTAGAGGTCTCAGGGAGCAAATGACGTGGCGATTAGGCATTCTGATTGGTAGGCAGTGCACATCGCACAATGCAAACTCAAACCACCAAAAAAGACATTCTTTTGCTTCTAAATATGCTGCCGACTAACCCTTAACCTCATCCTCAACCCAAACCAAAAACTAACTCTAACCCTGGTCCTAAACCCAACCCAGTGCTAATCTTAACCCTAACCATAACCTCAACCCAAAACTAAAACTAACCCTAAACTGGTCCTAAATCCAGCTCGGTGCTAATCTTAACCCTAATTTTAACCTCAACCCAAAACCTAAAAACTACCCTAATTCTAGTCTTAAACCTAACCCTGCTAATAATCCTAATCCTAACTTTAACCCCAAACCCAAACCTAACCCTAACCCTGGTACTAATAATAACCCTAAGCTTAACCTCAACTCAAAACTTAAACCCAGCCTTAATCTTCATCCTTAACCCGTACCTATTCCTAACCATAATCCTAAACCTAACCTTGGTACTAATCCCTACCTTAACCTCAACCCAAAACCCAAACCTGGCTCTAATCCTAACCCTAATCAGCTGGTTTAGGTTTCATCATAATTTTGGGGACATTCCAAATAAAGTGGAGCTGAAAGCTTATTAGCCTTAAAAAAAGGTTTAGTCTAAAAGACATTTAGCATAAGTTTTCTATTAAAAATGCAATATGTCTTTACTAGAAACCTGAATGTTTATCAGCAAAAACCCTCACTTACCAAACGGCTGTATTTTCACTCCTTTAAGTCAAGTCAAATTTATTTATATGGCGCCTTTTACAACAGATGTTGTCACAAAGCAGCTTTACAGAGAATCCGGGTCCACGCCCCCAGTGAGCAAGGCTTAGTGACAGTGGCAAGGAAAAACTCCCTCAACAGGAGGAAGAAACCTCGAGAGGAACCAGACTCAAAAGGGGAACCCATCCTCCTCTGGTCGACACCGGATAACAGCACAGACACAAAACAGTATAAGTGGATACAGTTTAACACCACTGTGCAGTGCGCCGGCCGCATCAGATCCCCCTGGGATGGGATTGAGTGGTGTTCAGATCCGACCCTCTTAGCACGGGCAGCCACTCAGCTCAGGGAAAGAGAGGGGGAGGGGGAAGAGGGGGGAGGGGGTAAGAGGGGGATAAGGGGGACAGATAGTTAGTTCAGCACCAACATTCCCAGATTACCATAGGACTCTCTGTCCCAGATCTGCGCCTTATTCTAACAGGAAAACTAATTAACCAAAGGCTCAACTAAACAGGTAAGTTTTTAGCCTAGACTTAAAGATGGAGGCTGTGTCTGAGTCCCAAACACTGACTGGTAGGCTATTCCAAAGCTGGGGGGCTTTGTATGAAAAGGCTCCTCCCCCTGACGTAACTTTATTTATTCTAGGTACTAATAATGAGCAGCACCTTGTGATCTAAGTGGGCGTGTCGGTTGATAATAGGAAATAAGGTCACTGAGGTACTGAGGATCAAGGCCATTCAGAGCTTTAAACGTCAGTAGAAGAATTCTGTACTCAATACGGAATTTAACTGGCAACCAATGTAAGGTACACAAAACTGGGCTAATGTGGTCAAATTTCCTGGTTTTAATTGTTAATTGGCTTTAATTGTTCAAATCAAAGTACACTTGGCAAACACACCCAGAACATCAACATGTTTTTATCACAGGGATCTTTGGTCCACTTACACACACACCCTGAGCGTCTGAGTATCTGAGGATAGAAGTGCTCACTAAATCTACCTGTTTGTATCTTTTCTAAATCTGGTTTAATAAAACTGGTTTTATGTATTATTATAATAGTTCAAACTGGCTTTATGTGTTGGTTTAATCACATATTTCATACGCTGTATTTGTGTCTCTTGGCTCTGGAATGTATGAGCTCGGTAGCATGTAATACCTCACTGTAATGGGGAGAGGGGGCTACTTAATAGCAAAATCACCTGATATTTGTTGTGAATCACCCTGAAGACTATTTTATGCCATAAAGTGTTTTAGTTGTATGTAAGTCAAAGAATTAACTCCTATATTGTTTTAATTACTCTGTTAGGGGCTGTAATTTAGCACC